AATTAGCTAGGAGCAGTGGCAGGTGCCTATAATCTGAGCTACTCAGTACTCAGGAGGCTCAGGCAGGAGAATTGCTTGAACCTGGGAGGTGGAGGTTGCAGTGAGCTGAGATCATGACATTGCTCCCCAACCTGGGCTATAGAGCAAGACTCAGTCTCAAAATAATAATAGGTCAGGCGTGGTGGCTCACGCCTGTAATCCAAACACTTTGGAGGCCAAGGCGGTCGGATCACCTGAGGTCGGGAGTTCAAGACCAGCCTGACCAACATGGTGAACCCCCGTCTTTAAAAATAATAATAATAATAATAATAATAATTTGACCATAGGTGTATGGGTTCATTTCTGGAATCTCAGTTCTCTTCCATTATCTATTGATCTATGTCTATCTTTATGCCAGCCCTACACCATTTTAGTGACTATAGCTTTGTAGTAAGTTTTGAAGTCAAGAAATATGAGGCTATCCCTTTTACAGATGAGGACATGGGACTCAGAAAGGTGACAGCAAGTTGGCCAGTGATCCTCCTTCCCAGAGGGTGGGCCCTCAGAATTGAGCAGCCATGCTTTCCATACTCCCCACCCCCAAAGCAGCAGCAGAGGACCAAGCCCAGTGCTACCTTTTTTTTTTTTTTTTTTTTTTTGAGACTGGGTTTCACTTTGTTGCCCAGGCTGGAGTGCAATAATGTGATCACGGCTCACTGCAACTCTCTGCCTCCCAGGTTCAAGTGACTCTCCTGCCTCAGCCTCCCAAAGTGCTGGGATTACAGGAGTGAGCCACTGCACCCAGCCTTTTTTTTATTTTTTGTAGAGACAGGGCCTCCTTTTGTTGACCAGGTTGGTCTCAAACTCCTGGGCTCAAGCAGTCCTCCTGCCTCAGCCTCCCAAGGTGCTGAGATTACAGGCAAGAGCCACAGCACCCAGCCCAGTGCTGCTTCTGAGTCTGTGAAGGCAGCAACCACATCCCCCTTTCAGACCTCACATAATCAGAAGATTCCCCGTGTGAATGGGGTAGTGTGGGCCTGTCAGCCTTTGAGGAGGTCTGGCCTCTAACAGGCCAAGGGCTTCTGGCTCAGAGGGCTCCCTGCGCTGTGGGGAGACGCCAAAGTGATGATCACGACATAGCAGCCACTTAGAGAAGAGTCCCTTATGCTGACTCTGGGGCCCACTCCCACTTTGCTCCCTTTGGCCTCTTCCTCCCTTTGTAGCGGTTGGATTGCAGCCCTGTCTACACTGGGCCAGGATGCCCTGGCCGTATCAGTCATCATGATGGTGGTGGCTGGCTTCTTCACCCTCTGTGCCGTGCTCTCAGTCTTCCTCTTGCAGCGGGTAAGTGGTGTGGGCAGGGCTGACAGCAAATGGGAGGAAGCAGGTACCTGTTTGCTGCCCTTCCCATGAGATGTTCTTCACAACTGCGGTTGGACCTCCTGGCCCCACAAAGGTCCAGCACCTTTCCCCAGGCTCTGGGTGGGAAGTCAGGCAGTGCTGGGCTCCTGGTGACCCCTTTGGGAGTATAACCTGGATGTCTAGGTTCCTGGTGGGCCCAAAGGGCAGGCTCCTCTCACCCCACCCCTCTTCACCAGGTGCACTCTCTGTACCGCCGGACAGGGGCCAGCTTCCAGCAGGCTCAGGAGGAGTTTTCCCAGGGCATCTTCAGCAGCAGAACCTTCCACAGAGCTGCTTCATCTGCTGCCCAAGGAGCCTTCCAGGGAAATTAGTCCTTCTCTCTTCTCTCTGCTCCAGCTTTTCTCTCGCCTGCCTTGAGCTGCACTTATCCGTGGGTGCCTTATCTGGTGGTGGCTGTGCCCAGCACAGACCCCGAGGGGGGTCTTGCTGTGGCTCTTCCTCCTCCCTCAGTGACCAGCTCTCCCTGGAAGGGGAGGAAGGGACAGGGACTTTTTTTTTTTTACACACACAAAAAAACAAAGCCATCTTTCCTTCTCTGGTGGTGCTTTGGTAGGATTCTTCTGTCTCTGGAAGCAGTGGGACTGAAGTTCTCTTACCCTTGTAGACACACAGACGCCCCACAGTTGGGATCACTGGCTGACCTGGGCCCACCCCAGCTGGAGTTTTCTGCCAGGGTCCTGGGCCTCGACTCCCTGAACCCTGCAGGCCTGGCCTGAATCTGGCTTCTCAGACACAGCCCAACCCTTTCTGCCCAGACTGGGAATAAGCCTCTCCGAGGCTCTGGCAGACAGCCCTGCTCCCCAGGTCACTGTCTCCAGGCTTCCAGAGAAGGCTGGTTGGCTCAAGCTCTTCCCTGCCTCATGGTCCTCATAAACAGATTCATAGCCCTTTAGCCCCCTGCACGCTTCTGCTGGGGACAGCACTTTGAGCCCTCTGGAGCTCCCTTGCCAAGCCTTACTCTCTTTAGACTTTCTGAACGTGCAATGTGGTTGGTGGGATTTTGGGAGGGACCAGGGACACTGACCCCAAGCTGTCCTGCACAGCGTCTTCTAGGAGGGTGGGGTCTGCCTGTCCTGATGTGGTTGGTTTGGCCGTTTGCTGTGACTTCCCCTCCCTCTGAGGGACAGCTGCCTTTGCCTCTGCCTCAGATGCCAGCCACCCCGCCCATGCCCCCCATCAGCAGGATCCAGACTTTCAGGAAAGGCAGGGCCAGTCCAGAACCGCATCCTTCAGCGGAGACTTATAGGCCATCTCTTGGAAGGCCCCCTAATTCCCGAGTGGAGTCTGGCTTACACCCCAGGGGGTGTGTCACTGTGATGGGCACCTAGAAGTCCATCCTTAAAACCTGCATCCTATCCCTCAAGGCTGCCGACCGGGTTTGTGGACTGGGGGGGCCTTTCCACTAAACTAGCCTCCTGCGCTGGGCCCGAGGCAGCCGCAGGCCTCCAGCCGCTCAGGCAGTCCCCAAGCCAATGAATGATACTGGCAGGGGCTGGGCTTTTATAAACTCCTTTCTGGTATTTTCTCCCCTCTATGTACAAATGTATATGTCTCAATTTTTGTGCTTGAATAAAAATAAAAAGACATTTTCAGACCACACTGGTTCTCATGTCCGGTGGACTTGGGAGGAAGGGGCAGCCCACAGGATTCGGGGCCGGGCGCTGCTGCTAGGCTTGGAGAGCGGGGACAGGTCAATAAACAGGAGAGCAATAAACAGGTCGTCAAGGCCCTTCCTCAGAAGAGTGAAAAGCAGCTGGAAGCTCCGGGAAGCCAACGCGGCCTCTTCCAAAGATGCCTTCTCGGCTTTCAGAGCTGCGGGTCCTGGGGCGGCGCCTCCTGGACGCCGTCGCCGCCACACGCCCACTCCGCCGCCCGCGCCCACGAGTGAGCGATCTCTAGATGCCTCTGCGCCCGCTGGGAGTCCCCGGAGGCCGCGCCGGCCGTCCTCCGCTCACTTCTCGGCTCGCACGGGCCTCCGTGTCCCCTTGCGGGCCTTGGAAGAACTAGAGGGGCGCGTCCAGTGAGACGCGTGGACCAGGGAAGAGCGCCCGGAGCGGGGCGGCGCAGCGTCTCGGCTGCGCGCTGCACTTCCGGCGGGCGGCGCCGTGGGCCGCTTGGAGCCGCCCCGCGCTCGCCCCGCCCCCGCCCCCCCCACCGGAACCTCCGCCCGCAGCGAGGAAGCGCCTGCGCGAGCGCGGGCGGCCGGGATGGCGGGGCCCGGTTGGGGTCCCCCGCGCCTGGACGGCTTCATCCTCACCGAGCGCCTGGGCAGCGGCACGTACGCCACGGTGTACAAGGCCTACGCCAAGGTGGGTGCCGGCCGCTGGCCCCGTGCCCACCAACCCGGAGCGAGCCCGGCTGGTGTCAGCCGGGGAGACTCCGAGAGGTTAGCGATAGCGTGGGAGCAGTTAGGGGCGGGAGGCCGGCTTCGCCCCAGCCGGATCCTCGGCGGAGGTTGGAGCCGACCGCCACGCTTAGGTCTCAAAAAACGAGCGCACCTGCATCCACCTGCAGGGTCAGTGGCTGAAGAACAGGCTCCAAACAGGTTACCTGGTGGGCTGGGAGGAGTCTAGGACTGGAGCCAGTTAGGAGGCAGAGTGGGCGGTTCTAGACCCCTGAGTGACAGGTCTCTGTCAGGGGCACTCTAGAATGCAAAGAAATGGGTCTTCTAGCCGAGGGTTGGAAAAGACCAGGCTGGGTCGGGAAGCCAGGATTCCAGAGCCCACCTGCCTCACTGGCCTCATGAGGGAAAGCTGGGAAGCCCGGTGCTGGTGTGCAATAGGGCAGGGTAGGGGGACAGAGGGAACCAGACGGAGCCTTTCCAGCCAGGCAAGGGTCCGGGCCCCCTCAGGGCAGAGCCCCCAAATCTCCTGTCCCGCAGAAGGACACTCGTGAGGTGGTAGCCATAAAGTGTGTAGCCAAGAAAAGTCTGAACAAGGCATCGGTGGAGAACCTCCTGACAGAGATTGAGATCCTCAAGGGCATTCGGCACCCCCACATTGTGCAGCTGAAAGACTTCCAGGTGTGAGCCTGGGGCGGGGCTGCTGCCAAAGGGAGCTGGAGAAGGGACACTCTCTTCAGGCTGCCTCTCTAACTCTAACCACAGTGGGACAGTGACAATATCTACCTCATCATGGAGTTCTGCGCAGGGGGCGACCTGTCTCGCTTCATCCATAGCCGCAGGATTCTGCCTGAGAAGGTGGTGCGTGTCTTCATGCAGCAATTAGGTAAAGGCCTGTGACCCTAGCCTGACACTCTGTCCCTTGTTCTCTGCATCCCTCGCACCCCCCGCGCCATCACACCCCTCCCCCAGGCTTAGAGACTTGACACACATTGCAGTTGCCTCCTGCACAGCCTGGAATTTTAGGGTCCTGTTTATCTTATACGCTCAGCCCTTGCTCAAGGATGCCGTGGGTGAGATGAGGGAGGCGCCCTCCCCTGTGGGGTGTTCAGGTTTCCACATGCAGAGCATAATATAAGGATCTTGCAGAACATTCCAGAGCCCTGTGAGTAGGACTCAAGTGCTGTGCCAAGGAAAAGAGCAAGATTCTCAAGGGCTGGGCATCCAGGGAGGCTTCTGGGAGGTGGGGAGACTTGTGAAGGGGAAGAGGGGAGGAGGGTGGGCACTCCGGGTAGGGTGGCAAACTCCTAGAAGTGGTGAGGTCCTTGTGCTTATATGGAAAACATTAGACCAGCCAGGCAGGAACTGGGGTCGTGCAGGCTTGAGGAAGCAGATGTGCGAGGAGGCAGCTGTGAGCCCAGGAGGTGAGAGGCAAGTGGGAATGGGCTCTGACCTGTCTCTCTTCATGGGTCCTGCTCCTCAGCTAGCGCCCTGCAGTTCCTGCACGAACGGAATATCTCTCACCTGGATCTGAAGCCACAGAACATTCTGCTGAGCTCCTTGGAGAAGCCCCACTTAAAACTGGCAGGTCTTTGTCTGGAACAGCAGGGTTTGAGGTCTGGAGACTGTGACTCCCATCTGTGGTCACATAGGAGGGTTTGTGGCGGGAGAGTAGGAAGTGGTGACCTTTGAAAAAATTTGGACAAGAATTGACGCTAGAGGCCATAGACTGTGGTAGAACCTAGCCTGAGAGGACAGTGAGAGGGTGGGGGCTTATCCATGTAGCTGGTGTCATCAGGTGGGCTTCCTAGGAAAAGGTGCCTGAGGGAACTGTGCAGGATGGGTAGGTTTTACATCCCAGAGGCAAATATAGGAAGGTGTTCCAGGCTAATGATGAGCAGAGGCTTGGAAATAGGGTTGATCCGGGCGGGTCTGGAGGGTGGAGAGGAGCCCAGGGTGAGGCTTACCAAGCCAGGAGCAGAAGCAGCTGGAATTTGAGCCCTGCTGCCTGGCCTCTTGCCTGCAGACTTTGGCTTCGCACAGCACATGTCCCCGTGGGATGAGAAGCACGTGCTCCGTGGCTCCCCCCTCTACATGGCCCCCGAGATGGTGTGCCAGCGGCAGTACGATGCCCGCGTGGACCTCTGGTCTGTGGGGGTCATCCTTTATGGTGAGACCCCTTTTCCCTGCCTCTCACCCTGAGGCCTACACTGTCCTCTCTGGGCCACTCCTGAAGGGTTCTGATGAAAACTGACTGCTGGCTTAGGGCCCTTGCTGAGGGGCGTCAGGCCCCCTCTTCCCCAGGTGTGGGCCAGGCCAGGCTTGACACATCCCCTCCCAGCCTTTGCTCTGCCTCCCTTCCACAGAAGCCCTCTTCGGGCAGCCCCCTTTTGCCTCCAGGTCATTCTCGGAGCTGGAAGAGAAGATCCGTAGCAACCGGGTCATTGAGGTGGGTCTGTCAGGACCTTAGCAACCATTTGAAGGGGGCGGAGGGAGTCAGGGCCCTGAGGGTTTAGACCTCCGTCTCGCTTGCACAGACTGGAGTATGGGCTCCAGGCTGCCTTCGTAGTGCAGGGGCATGCTCTAGGCTGGAAGTGGAGGTGCGGGGCTGTCCCAGGGATTCTGATCAGCCCCCAGTAGGCAGCACAGGGCCTATTTTGCAGGCCCTTGTGGAGAGAAGGCCAAAGCAGAGCCAGGCCCAGCTTTCCCAGGAGCATAGTCCAGGGAGGGAATAAGGACCCATAAACACAATTCTAGCTCAGCTCAGGGCTCCAGCGTGGGTGCACCAGGAGCCCAGGGATGGAGGCCTGGCTCCCCATTGGCGACATCATCTTGACCTACCCTGTTCCTCCCTGGTCTCAGGTTCTCCACCTGTCCAACATGTATGTCTGGGGTTCCTCACAGACCTCTGGGCTAGGGGTGTAGGTTCTGGAGCCCAGTGTGATCTGTCGCTGCCGTCCCCTTCCCTGCAGCTCCCCCTGCGGCCCCTGCTGTCCCAAGACTGCCGGGACCTACTGCAGCAGCTCCTGGAGCGGGACCCCAGCCGGCGCATCTCCTTCCAGGACTTCTTTGCGCACTCCTGGGTGGACCTGGAGCACATGCCCAGCAGGGAGAGTCTGGAGCGAGCAGTGAGCAGGCGGGTGGGGATGGGGTGGGCTGCAGGTGGGCTGGAAGTCTCATTCCCCACTTTGGTGGTGAATAGGTGACTCGCCCAACAGAGACAGAGGGCAGGCTCAGGGGGCTGATCTCCCATCCTGGTGAGCGTGGGAGGGTAGGGAGGTGGACCTGACCCTGATCTGCCCATCCCCCAGACTGCGCTGGTGGTGCAGGCTGTGAAGAAAGACCAGGAGGGGGACGCAGCAGCTGCCTTATCGCTCTACTGCAAGGCTCTGGACTTCTTTGTACCTGCCCTGCACTGTGAGTCATAGGCCATGCCTGAACCCCTGGGTGCAGCAGGGATGGGAGTCATCCGTGGCTGCAGTAGGTGGATTCCAGAAGTTCTCCATCGAGAATTTTGTAGGCGATAAAGCAGAGCATAAACCTGGAATGTTGTGTTTTGAGGGATTCCAGAGGGTTCGGTGTGGGGCAGGGGTTCCCCCAGATTCCTCATGTGAAGCCCCGCTTTCTGCAGATGAAGTGGATGCCCAGCGGAAGGAGGCAATTAAGGCAAAGGTGGGTGAGAGTCCCCATGAGGAAGTGGGGGGCAGGGGGTAAGGCCCGGGGACCCCCGGGCCCCTAGGGAATGGCTCTCTTAGAATTGGAGCTTCCTCTCCTGCAACACAGAGCTGGAAATGGGTCAGGCCAGGCTCATTTGCCCCCTGACGTGTTTATAGCTTGGGGCAGTCACTAACAACACAGAGGGAGAACTTGGACGTGGGTTCTGGCAAGGGCAGCGTTTGGGGCAGCCCCTCCTCAGGCCCTTTTCCTGCTGCAGGTGGGGCAGTACGTGTCCCGGGCCGAGGAGCTCAAGGCCATCGTCTCCTCCTCCAATCAGGCCCTGCTGAGGCAGGGCACCTCTGCCCGAGACCTGCTCAGAGGTAGACTCTGGCTCCTGGCTGACCCCAGGACCCCCAGCAAACCTCCCCACAGCCCGAGTGGGAGGCAGGTGGGAAGAGGCATCCTGCAGTAAATAGGCAGTCGGCTTCCCTCACCCTGAGGCTTTCCTCTCATCCCAGAGATGGCCCGGGACAAGCCACGCCTCCTAGCAGCCCTGGAAGTGGCTTCGGCTGCCATGGCCAAGGTTTGTGCCAGTGGGAGGGGTCCAGGGGGGTGGGGAGGTATCCTGGCCATGACCCTAACTGGCCTGGTATTCATGTGGCTGCAGGAGGAGGCCGCCGGCGGGGAGCAGGATGCCCTAGACCTGTACCAGCACAGCCTGGGGGAGCTGCTGCTGCTGCTGGCAGGTGAGGGCCGCCATCTCTGCCCCCGACATGGCCCCTGGCTGCCCTGACCTCACCACACGCCCTTTCTTTACAGCGGAGCCCCCAGGCCGGAGGCGGGAGCTGCTTCACACTGAGGTGCCCACTGAGCTTGAGAGGGTTGGGGGGCTTCCTCTTCCCTTTGTCTCTGCTCTTATCTGTGGGGACCTCCTTGGGTTTCCTCTGGAATGCGCCACCCTCAGGGTGTTCTAAGTGGAAGTTGAACCATAGGGCCGGGGTGCTCAGACAGGGCAGTGGAGGATCTGGGAACCCAGCAGCAAAAAGTCTGGGAAGGCTTCCTGGAGGAAGGAGCAGACAAGGGACTCAGGCGGCAGGTTGTTCTGATGGGGCAGAGGGTTCTGGAGAGCATCAGGGGTGAGGAGGAATTCTCTTTGAACCCCCCTCCCCACCACTCTCCCGCACACCCAAGGGCATATCTTTCTTTGGCAGGTTCAGAACCTTATGGCCCGAGCTGAATACCTGAAGGAGCAGGTCAAGGTGGGCACGTTGGGACCACGCTGGGGCCAGGGTCTGTGGGTTCTGATCGTTTCTGCCTGTGGCTGTCATCCCCGTCCTGCTGGTGTATGTTTGCTCTCCCGCCTCCTCTGAAGGCCTCCCCGTCCCCGTCTCTGTCCTTCACTGTCTCACTTGCTCAGCACTGTGTGCTGTGGCTGCCTCTGGCTGCCTTTCACCCCTTGCACTGTCTTCACATCCCACAGATGAGGGAATCTCGATGGGAAGCTGAGACCATGGACAAAGAGGGGCTGTCGGAGTCTGTTCGTAGCTGTGAGTTCTGCCCTGGGGTCGATCCTCCATCCAAGGAGGGGTGGTGGCTGGAGGCCCTGGGCTCTGCCTCCTTTACCAAAGACCTGAGACTGGTCCTCTCCCATTGTCCCCCTCCCTCCCAGCTTGTTCCCTGCAGTGACTCCAGAAGAATGACTGGGCAGATGTGAACCATCTGGGGCAGAGTCTGACCCAGGCTGGCGCCCAGGATGAAGCGGCCCACGGCAGCCTTGGCAAGCAGGCTTCTTGGATGCACAGTGCTGAGACCCCCTCATCCCAGAGTCCCCAGCCTCCCTCAAGTTACTCTGCACCCCGCAGAGGGTTTGATGGCCATCCTGTATGCAGGAGGCGAGGGCAGGACTCTGGGAGAACAGCATTTCTTTCACAAGACCTTTGTTATTCTCTGGTTACTGGGTCCTGTGTCTGTCCGTTTTGGGGCATGCAGCAGTCTATGGTTTTTTGCTCTGAGTAGAGGGCAGGGGGCCCCTGCAGGGCACTTCTGTGCTTGCCCTCGCCCTGTCAGCAGGCAGCGGTGCCCCTGGCCTGCCCTTCCTGGGACCTCTTATTCCACCTCAGCTCCTCCTTGCACTGGAATGGGGCACTCCAGCACCCCTCAGGGACCATCCACCCCCCAGAACCCACCAGTCTTCCTGGGAATGCACACCTGCCCGCCATTTTGGTACTTTAAGTTAATCCTCCAAGCATGAAAGTTGTAAGCGTGGGGCAAATTTAAGAAGCCCATGCCTGGTTCCTGCCCTGGCCTAGGGCGCACCAAGGAGGGGTCCTTGGTCCTCATCCCTCCCAGCTCCGTTCCTCTTTGGGACCACACTAGCCACAGTGCAGGCCTTGTGCTGGAGTTTGAGCCTGGGGACGGAGACCTGGGGACAGTCTGACCCAGCGCACTCCAGGGTACCCACTTCTAGGCCTGCTTTGCCACTACCCCAGTGTGAAGGCCTGGGCAAGCCCCTTTCTGGGTCTGGGTCTCCACATCTGTTCAATGGGGCTGATACCTCCACAGCCCACAACATAGGCACTTATGAGGACAAAGTGAATTTAACCTGGAAAAGAAAGACAGATTCTTTTAAATAATCAGCAGGTGTTGGTGATTGCTAGTCCTTCTGCCCTTAAATGCCTTCTTGGGCAAGAGTTGTCTGTCCTCCCTGCAGGACGCTGAGTGTCGAGTGTAATTCATTGTTTCTCTATTAAATTATTTTTTCTACTTGCGCATCTCTTCTTGCCGTAACAAGAACAAGAGGGGTGGCTGCTGCCCGCAGGCTGGGGCAAGAAAGGCTGCAGCAAAAGCTGGGGAAACTGAGGTAGGGCTGGGGAGGCCTCGGGCTGGAGGGGGATGCTGGGAATGATAGCTACGTCTGCCCTCAGCCCCCAGGGATCCAGGAGAAAGCCTGACCAGTGTCATTCCTGCCCACACCCGGGCGACTGGCGTGGAGAGGATTGCAGGCCTGAGGAGCTTTGCTCAGCTCAGCTCCAGGACTGCAGTCTTCTAAAATGCTCTGCCCTCCACACCACGCACTGTCCCACCCGACACAGGATCTCCTGGCCTCTTGCCCCCTCCTGCCCTGGGCCAGTAAGGGAGCAGTGAGCTGGACTGGGGTGAAGGGGCATCTTTTTTTTTTTTTTGAGACGGCATCTCACTGTCACCCAGGCTGGAGTACAGTGGCAGGATCTCGGCTCACTGCAACCTCCGCCTCCCGGGTTCAAGCGATTATCCTGCCTCAGCTTCCTGTGGAGCTAGGACCACAGGCGCCTGCGACCACACCCAGCTAATTTTTGTATATTTAGTACAGATGGAGTTTCACCATGTTGGCCAGGCTGGTCTCCAACTCCTGACCTTGTGATCCACCTGCCTTGGCCTCCCAAAGTGCTGGGATTACAGGTGTGAGCCACTGTGCCCGGCCAGGAAGGGGCATCTTTTGAGGTGTCATGCTCACACCCAGCCCCCAGGGACTTCATTTCCATTAGGCTCTGTACCCTGGCCTTCCCTCAACCCCACACACTCCCAGGTGTCAGTCTGACCAGCACTTGTTGGGAGTAGGAGGGGAGCAGTTCCTTAGACTTACCCACGTGTCCCCCACCCCACCCCTGTTGCTCAGTCATCCGGGGGTTTCGTACTAGGACTGGAACAGACTCTGGGAAATAGTCTCCCTAAAGCCCTGGCCTGGCCACTGGGGGGCAGTGTGGAGCAGTGTCCCAGAGGGCAGGAGGAGCTGCTAGAATTCTGGCTCTGCTGCTTGGTCTTGAAGTTTGGGATCCATTGATTAGCCTATTTCTTCATAAAATGAGGTTGAGGATAAGGGCCCCATGAGAATTTGTAATGAGATACTGCACGTGGGCATGGCATACCGTAAGAATACAATAAAATGTGATTTTCAGATCTAGGGAGAGAAATGTATGTCAGATTATCTCTGGAAATGGGCCAGACAAAAAAGCCTCAATACATAAAGTGAAGGAACAGGAGGGGAATGAATGGACCTGGTTGAGTGGATGAATTGAGAAGATGGGAGAGGCTGAATGCGGTGGCTCATGCCTGTAATCTCAGCACTTTGGGAGGCCAAGGCAGGCAGATCACGAGGTCAGGGGATCAAGACCATCCTGGCCAACATGGTGAAACCCTGTCTTTATTAAAAATACAAAAATTAACCGGGTGTGATGGCGCACACCTGTAATCCAGCTACTCAGGAGGCTAAAGCAGGAGAATCGCTTGAACCCAGGGGACAGAGGTTGCAGTGAGCCAAGATTGTGCCACTGCATTCCAGCCTGGGGGGCAGAGGTTGCAGTGAGCCAAGATTGTGCCACTGGTGACAGAGTGAGACTCCGTCTCAAAAAAAAAAAAAAAAAAAAACATGGGAGGAGGAGTGGAAATGAAAGATGAGATGGAAGACTAGAGAATTGAATGAAGGGCAATGGAGAGAGGGTTGGCCCACCAATTCCAGCTGTTTATTTGTGGTCACTGCATCGGCTGGCTGAGAACAGAGGCCTAAAGTTATTACGAAGGTTCGTGTGGAGAGTAGTGGGCCCCCACAGAGAGGATTCAGTACGCAAAAGGCCTAGGGACTGAGGCTGCTGGAGGAGCCCCTGGGAAGGGGCCCTCCTTGAACAAAGCATCTGGATGGCCTCTAGGTTGCTCCTGTGTCCAAGCCGCCTGCCAAGCAGGGAGGCGGCCCAGTCGGAGGCTGGGGTGAGGCGGGGAGGGCTTGCTTCTAATGGCAGAGGCCTGTAGGAAACGTGCAGACCACTTTCCGAAGGTCATGTTTTCCTTCTTAGGGGACAGAATTGTTTCCACCTGTCACTTTCAACACTCCAAAGGTGCCCAAAGCAGGACGGCTACCTCCCAGCAACATTCGGGGGACAGCCCTATCCTCCTACCGCCATCAGTCACCTAAGCACAGAGCCAGCCCTGCACCAAGCCGGGGAGCCTGAGCTTTCTAACCGCCAGCCCTGGAAGATGCACATGGGCCTCGGGAACAGATAAAGGGACCCAGGTGTCCCTGTGTCCAGCTGGCCCTTCCTTACCTTCTTTACCCGGATGTGGGAAAGGACATAGAACCTTTGTTCCTGCGGAAGGTCATCTAGAAAGGCTCTTGTCCCCAGAGGCCAGGTTGCTGTCCCAGCAGTCCCTGAAAGGGCAGTGGTCCAACAAGGAGGCTGGGGCCTGAGGGAAGGAGCACATCATCAATGACGGCTTCTCCGGAGGAAAGCATACCTGCACCTACACACAGCAGATCCCACAGACACAAGAAAGCCATGTGCAGGCTGACAAACCCCCGCTGGCCCCCCACACACTTACCCTCATGAGCACACACGCAGGCGCAGCTCTGCTGAATGAGGTTAAGGCCACCTCAGTGGTGCTGCTGCTCCCCTGAGCTCAAACCTCAAACGGCCTCTGGGGACAGCTCTGCCTGGTGGGCACTGGGTTGGAGGCACAGCAGTGGGCCCTGTGACTAAACCCCCCAGCCCCACCTCAGGTCTGTGGGAGAGAAGACAGAAGCTCCGCCTCACAGCTGAGTGTCAGCTGGGTCAACAGGCACTGTCAGCAGCTCAGCTCAGCTAACAAGCATGTCCCAGATGTCCCCAGCGCCTGCCTGGGACCTCCGGTGTCTGAGGAGGAACCATCTGGCTGTTGAGGGAACGGGAGATCCTCCGTGCTCCAAGCCCTGGTCACCCTCCCCAGTTCCTCCCTGGGGACCAGCTGGCCTTGGGAAAGTCACTTGTTCTCTTGGCACCCTCTTCCTGCTGGGAACTGGGCCTGAGCTGTCCAGGTGGGTGGAAGGCAGGGGACTGTAGGCTCCTTGGGTAGGGTTTCTTTGAAATCTTGTACATTGTGAAACCACAGCCCCTGAGAGTAAGAGGTGGCGGGACAGGCAACCATCTCTGACTCTTCTCTCCCGCTGTAGGGGTTTAGGGGAGTTGGAGGGGCTCTCTTAACCACCTTTTTTCTTTTCTTTTCTTTTCTTTTTTTTTTTTTTTTTTGAGATGGAGTTTCGCTCTTGTTACCCAGGCTGGAGTGCAATGGCGCGATCTCGACTCACCGCAACCTCTGTCTCCTGGGTTCAGGCAATTCTCCTGCCTCAGCCTCCTGAGTAGCTGGGATTACAGGCACGCGCCACCATGCCCAGCTAATTTCTTTTTGTAGTTTTAGTAGAGACGGGGTTTCACCGTGTTGACCAGGATGGCCTCGATCTCTTGACCTCGTGATCCGCCCGCCTCTGCCTCCCAAAGTGCTAGGATTACAAGCTTGAACCACCGCGCCCGGCTTTTCTTTTCTTTTCATTTTTTTTTTTTTTTGAGACAAAGTTTTGCTGTTGTTGCCCAGGCTGAAGTGCAATGGCGAGATCTCGGCTCACCGCGACCTCTGCCTCCCAGGTTTAAGCGATTCTTCTGCCTCAGTCTCCCAAGTAGCTGGGATTACAGGCATGCACCACCATGCTCAGCTAATTTTGTATTTTTAGTAGAGATGGGTTTTCTCCATGTTGGTCAGGCTGGTCTCAAACTCCCGACCTCAGGTGATCTGCTGGCCTAGGCCTCCCAAAGTGCTGGGATTACAGGCGTGAGCCACCGAGCCTGGCCTTAACCACCTTTTAACATTTCATGTATGCTCAGACTGCCCGCAAGGGTACTGAGGAAGGAAAGGGGAAAAGAAAAGGAGGAGGGAGGGAGACGAGGTAGGAGAGGGCCTGGAACGTCAGGCTCCTAACTACGGGGTATAATGGGGTTCTAGGCAGAGGGTGAAATGGGAAGTTTTGACAGCAAATGTCTGTGGCCCTCACATCACACCAGGTGGGTGGACCAGTCACAGGACAAATGTGTAAATGTCCTATTTTGACATTTGATTGTCTAAGTAAGAGAGGGTAGGAACAGCTTGGGAAGAGAGTAGTAGTCGATGTATTCAGGGCCCTCGGGCTTGGGAGTTGGGGGGGGCAGGTGCAGAGGAGGAGCTTCAGTTGGGTCAAGTCAGCCCCCAACTTCGGGCAGCTGCAGGACAGGCTCTGAGCCAGGAGAGCAGCAAGGGCTGAGGGCACACAGGTGGGACGGGTGTGGACTGACAGAGACCCAGATTGCAGGGCTGATGGGGAGGCCAGGTATGCCCAACAGAGCTGGGGACCCCTCAGCCTGCCCTCATTGTCCATCTCTGCCTGAGCCCCACAGCCTCCTCCACCTCTTTCCAGGGATAGTGCAAACCGGTCAGGGCTTCTTGGGGTTCCGTTCCCAGCGTGAAGGGGAAAAATGTGGGGGCTTAGCCCTCTCCCGATCCTTAATCCAGGTTACAACCAGCCCTGCTTTGACAGGGTTCAGTAAGTGCAAGTCCCCCAGCTCCCACTGCCCGCCACCCCTGCCTCTCCCTCTCGGCCCTGCAAAGCACTGAGGGGGAAGGGGTCTGTCCAATCCCATTAGGCAGAAGGCCCCAGAGGGTGGAGTGCTGACGTGGGCCTCGCTGCTGACGCTGTGGAGGCAGCCCATGACCCCCCTACCTGGCTTGGGGCTCTGGCTCGGGTCTCCTCCAGCTCTGAGAAGGTCAGGAGGAGGCCCTGGCCTGGGGGCAGCCTGGGAGCAGCTGAGGCCCAGGCCCGTTCCCTGGGGACACTCAGGAGAGTGAGACCAAGCATGACAGCCCAAGCAGCAGACAGGACTGGGCCTGTGTCCCTCCCTGGCCTGTCTCCCCTCTTCCAGCTCCACATGGCCTCCTGAACAGGTTCGATGTGC